GGGAGGGGGCGCTAATTCGAGATTTTACGGTAAATGTAAATCTATAATGTATTCTGCAGACGTTCTGTCGTAGGTTAGCACTCAAGCGAAAACAACACTTAATGCTTGCAAAATAACGTTTCAAATATACAAAATGTCGCTTTCTCTAACGAGCAGTCTGTAGTTACACCAAACATTAACAGCCATGTTGGGTACCCTACACCTAATCCTTCCCTTGTAGATCCCTACCCCCACTACCACAACTTCCAGGTTTAGCGAAGATATCGGTGACGTCACCTACTACTGCATAAAACTGTTTGCTGCTGAAACAAAGAGTTCTTTGTAGTGTTTGTAATGTCTGTAACCAAATATCCTCCCTATCACACCTCACTTTCATTTTCAATTTCCATATTGCTTACTTGGCATGTACTTTTGCTAGTTCAAGTACAGATAAAAGCTTCTGATTTACTTCGAACAAGCCGAAGATCACCTCGCTCTGTGTCCAATGCTATCTATGAAAATGGCGTCGGTAAATTTCCGACCATATGTATATTTAGCTTTGTTGTTGTCGGTTTTCTGTCACACAGAGACTCTCAAGCCATCGCATCATTACAACACGACCGTCGATGGTCTCAACGATGAAACTCGATGTAGCTGGAATTGTACAGACATTGATTCTTATTTGAGGGAAGAAATGAAGAAGATAATCGCCAAGAACAAAATTATTCGACTTGCTGTCAAGTACGAAGTGATGGACAAATGCGTAGACCAAACATCTGGCAACTACATTGAACACTTGCAATTATGGCGCGCGAATAAACAGCCATCAATTTTTACGAAGGCATTGGAAAGCGTCGTAAATTTGATGTCTCGTACCGATTCAGTTGAAGAACACAAAGAAATCACAGCCATATGTACCTTAACACCTGTAAACACGACAGCTACAGAGCCTACTGATTACAATGGTTCTTCTCCCATATTCTCTCGAAGTCATCTTGCTGATCTTGGAGTCAAATTTAATAGCATCGACTGTAATACAGAAACAACAGAGAATTCACAACCTTGTATCAACATCATCAAATCAACTGGCAATAATAACAGTACTTTCAAAGGTCCATTAAAACGCGATGGATGGCCGGAGAAAGTTTTAGTTTTGTTAAATATAGGATTCTTGACGGTTTTCAGTTATTTTTCCCCTGCTTTCCTTTGTCTTTTCTCGCCGACAGAGATCACAGAAGACAATGTTCATCAGATCGTTCTGGATGGAGCAAGCCCAGTCAGCCTTCGAAGTCTGATTGGGAACTATTTCTTCTCAAAGGAAGATACCATCTGGCACAGAGTAAGAATGTTTTTTCTACGAGCTGTTGTGCTTCCTTTACTATACGTCGGTCCTGCAATATTTGCCAAATACAGGCAGCAGAACATGAATCCAACTTTCAATGTTTTCGGCATGTCGCATTTTTTGCATCTATTTATGATAGTGTCCTATGTGTGTTATTACATTACGGCTTATCGCACGTCATTTACTTCCGCGGGGTCCTCCGGAGGGAGTGATCCTTGCACTGTTTGCAAGCGCATTAAATCTAAGACCATCATCTGTCAAGGGAATCTCCCCAAGCGTATAAGAAATCATCTACGTATCCAGCCATTGATTTTGGTGAAATGTTCAAGGCTGTTTATTCGACTTCTCTTGACTTATTTTAAGAAGTGCTTTCTTCTGATTCCTTATACTTTTGAATTTTCTTCCTTTTTCTTTCTCCGCTTATTTTTGTTCATTGTTTTGTTATCCGCCAGCCCTGCAATAACTACTATACTTGTAATATACATACTGCTGTTAATTAGCCTTTCTCTAATGAGAACAATTCCCGTAACAATCTTGGCTAGCAATAGAAAATGTGGGGTTAATGTCTACTTCCGACATAATCGTTGTTTATTGTTGTTGTCAAATTCTGTGTTTTTTATGATCGCTATGTTAGCAAGTCTGGGATCAATGTTGTTTTTGACGTTTGCTGGTTTTGGTGTTGCTATTGCCATTTCATTAGCTTTTGTACTTCTGCTCTCTGAAGAAATTCTTCCGTTTGTGGCTTGCTTTGTTCTTGTTTTGTATTATTTTTGGAGTAGCTACAGCTCTTTTACCAACAAATACCAGGATCTTGGCTTTGCTATCTTTAAACATTACAAGTCTTACAAGAAATCGCAAGATATCCAAGTCGCAGACATGACTTCAAACACAGATTCCACACAAAATGCTGTTGGCAACCAAGACAATGTGATGAAAATCCCCAAGGAGCTTTTCCACATGGCATGCGAAGAACTAATGCCTATCAGAGAAAGTGTCTGTGTACTGCTTTTGAAGGTCACTATAATTGTGTCTTTTGTGTTGTTTGTTTTCTCATTGATAATGCTGCACAATGTTAGTGCTACCCCTGTCATGAGAGCTTTGTTGACATTTCTATCCGGATCTTTACCTAAGATCGTTGCCATTTACATGGATGGAAGAAGGCAGAAAAACATTGAAGCTATGACTGCTGACGAGAAGATTCCCTTAATTGTCCAGGAGTACATTGAAGGAATTTCCGCAGTTAACCAAGGACAGGAAAACAGTGGGGTAGATGTCGATGAAGTGATGTTACAAAATGTGAATGAAGAGAGCTTCGAGTTGGCAATCACGTAATGCTTGTAACCGTTATCATGACTTTTACTCTATACTCCAACTTGGAAGGATCATATCCAGTCTACATATATAAACTCACTCTTGGCCCGAATCCTAAAAGAACACTTAATACTGACCATGAGTCTTTGTGACTTGATGTTACTTTGCTTTAGTACGTTATTATCATGTTACTCTCGTGATCTGACCTGTCTGCAGTCCGGTTCGTTGAACATCAATAGTCCTGCATGACGTAATTGAGTTGCAATTGCGAGACTTTCAAAAGATAAACTTTGAGCGAGAAATCATTGCTTGGAGCTCGGAATAGAACGAAAGAGGATTTTGAAACGGCAATGTTCATGTCAATATGACTATTTTAAGACTGATACCGAAGAAACTTTAGGCCTTTAGGCCTTATTTTCAAGTAGTTTG